ACCTCCTCTCTACAAAAATACAAAAACTAGCTGGGTGTCATGGTGCGTGCCTGTAGTCTCAGATACTCAGGGAGGTTGAGGCTGCAGTGAGCCATGATAGTGCCACTGCACTCCAGCTGGGGTGACAAGAGTGACTAGTCTCCAAAAAATAAAAAATAAGGTAAAATAAAGATTGGCCCATCTACCCTCAACAGTTGCCTGGACTCCTTGGGGGCTCCGTGCACCTAGATGCTGGACTTGGATAACTATCTGATATTTGATACAGTGAACAGGCACTTTGTTCTTGCTATCATCGTTGGTACCTGAGATAGAAAGCCTTAAAGAGAGGCCATGCCCATGATTAACTTTCAGGTCAAAACAAGCAAAAAGCCAACAGCTATAGTTGTAGGTATAGCAAATCAGTGTGCCTTTTATGTAGAGGCTACTGAAAACCAGTCATTCATTAAAGGTATTCTGGTCACTTGGATGAAGGCTGGCCTTGGCATTCACCAGAATCTTTAGTAGAGTCATTAGCACCATTGGCAAGTCAACCAGATCTGGCCTTGGCCATGATAGTGGAGTCTGGGATTGGAAGGCATGAATTTTATGAAGTCTATAGTATCGGAAATTCATTGGTTGAGGACATACCTCTTTCTTTTTGGACCCTGCGGGCATAGTGGTTTAGGTCCTAGTGCCATTGATACATGTGCAGAGTGGGGATTAATATGACTGTGGTTGACAGAATAATTATGAAGTACAAAGACCTCAGATCTGTGATCATCTTCCATAGAAGTATTTGCTCAGAAGCTTCTCAGAAACATTCTCATGATTGAAGAAGCCTTGAAGAGCCAGTATTTCTGTCTATGAAATCTTCTGTTTACTGTATTAAAAGGACCCATCAGAAAGTAACTGAGGTAGTGCTGATTTCCTGAGCAGTTATTCAGTCCACTGTCTCAAGTCCATCATGCAGAATGTTCACAGAGGGTAAAGTAGGTTTAACTATTATAACTACTCACTTTTATAATTGATTTCATTTAAAGATTAATGTGATTAGTACTCTGTTTTTCCTGGCAGTTTTGTTGTAGTAAGAGTAACTGCTGTGTGGCTAAACTAAGGTTATAAGCCAAATTGTTTCCTCAGAGTTTAAGAAACACACTACTAACTCTCATGGGTTTACTAGTTGTCTGTTGCTGCATAACAAATCATTCCATAATTTTGTGGTGTATTGCTGCAGGCAACGTTAAACTAAGTGGATGAAAATATGAAAAGGATATTCACATAGTCTCAGAGTGTCTCCCTACAAGGTAGGATTACTAACAAAGGGAAACTAACAATTATATGGTAAGGAAATCTCTTTAACCCAATAATTACCAGCAATAAGATGTAGCAACCCTCATCATGTACCCCTTGATATGATGCACTGACAAAAGCACCTCTCCTCTCTAATTTTCTTGCCAAAATGCATAATCTCAAGCTAATTACAAGAAAATGCAGACAAACCCAAATTGAGGGACATTCTGCAAAATAACTGACCAGTAATTCTCCGAAAGTGTCAAGGTCATAAAAGACAAAGACAGACATTGAGGAACTGTCACAAATTGGAGGAGACTGAGGGGACATGACAACTAAATGCAACCTGGAATCATGGACTGAATCTGGGTCAGAGAAAGGACATTGGTGGGGAAACTGGTGTAAAGGGGATAAAGCTTGTAGATTAGTTAACAGTATTGCCTCAATATTAATTTCCTGATTTTTTAAGTAACTGGGCTTTGGTTACATAAGATGTCAACATTTGGGGAAGTTGCATGAAAACACATGGGAAATCTTTTGATGATTTTTTGCAGTTTTTCTGCAAGTCTAAAATTATTTCAAAACAAAAAGTTTAAAAAATCAAATACACATAGTTGCTTGAAACGATAACTATTTTATTATATTCCAAGATGTTGTGAGTCAGGAATCTGGGCAAAATTCAGTCGGGCAATTCTTCTGCAAAGACCCCCGCAACACATTCAAAGTCACTGGCAGAGGTTGCTGGGGGAGGGTATTGAAAAGAAGAGAAAAGTCACAGGTGGGTGCAATGGAGGGAGGGCAGAGGGCTGCTGATTATGGTGCAGGACTCATCCATGATGGAGCCCTGGGGAGGCAGGGGCTTCATAACTAGACACTGGTCTCGTCACCTCAGACTCACCTGTAGCAGGAATAGATACTGAGGCCAGACTGAAAACACAGGCTCTGCCTCAGGAGAAGCTTTCTACTAGCCGAGTAAATGATAACAGTACTGGAGATGTTCCCAACATCATAATGGGAAAACATCACTTCACACTACATAAGCAAAACATAGAGCAGTGCCAGTCATCTTCCCAGGTTAGTAGCAATTCTACTGCCTGCAAGAGTGTTGGAGAAATACAAACCAAGGATTAGGCACTTTTATCTTGAAAACATGAAGCTCTCTTTTCTTTCTTTCCTTCCTTCCTTCCTTCCTCCCTCCCTCCCTCCCTTCCTTCCTTCCTTCTCTCTCTCTCTCTTTCTTTCTCTCTCTCTTCTTTTGTTTTGTTTTGTTTTGTTTGTTTGTTTGAGACAGTTTCTCACTCTGACACCCAGACTGGAGTGCAGTGGTGCCATCACAGCTCACTGCAGCCTCGACCTCCAGGGCTCAAGCAATCCTCCCAGCTCACCCTCCCAAATGGCTGAAACTACAGGCTTGTATCACCACACCTGGCTAATTTTTGTATTTTTTTTGTGCAGATGAGGTCTCCCTCTGTTGCCCAGGTGGTCTCGAACTCCTGGGATCAAGCGATCCATCCACCTTGGCCTCCCAAAACGCTGGGATTACAGGCATAAGGCACCACACCCAGCCAGCTAACCTTTTTTATATTGGCTAATGAAAGAGTTTTAAGTTGGGACCCTATGAAGCATAAAGAAATAACTAGTTATTGAGTATTACTGTGTATCTAATATCAGATGTACAGTAATACTCAAGTGTGCAATTGTGGATAACTTGAGTTCATGAAGTTTTTGTTTTTTTGTCAAAAGAAGAATAAATTTATAGTGAAACTACCCAAAAAAGCAAAGTACAGAACAGTATGCTACCATTTGTGCACAGAAATGGGATACATGTGGTGTAAGTGCATCGAATTTACTGGACGTATGTCCAGGGACCAGAACCCTTGGTGACTTCATGTTCATACTTTTGCAAGCACATGAATAGCATCCTTAACTTAAATGTATCGTTGTACACATTCTAGTGTTATCAAAATTTACATAAATATTATCAAGTCAGAGAAGTCATTCTGTGTCTTAGTATTTTCACTTCATACTTGGTATATTTATGTATGTATGCACACATACCTATATATATTTAAATAAGATTTATATTCACATGGTCCAAAAATCAAAACAATGTGGAAAGGTTTACAGACAAAAGTCTCATGCCTAATCCTGTTCTCTTCTGCCAGGTGACCAAGTTATTAATTTCTTTTCACACCTTGCCACAGAATTTTCACCTGCAAACACAGATATTCTTTTTTTTTTTAATGACAGAGTCATGTTCTGTTATCCAGGCTGGAGTGCAGTGGTGTGATCTTGGCTCACTGCAAACTCCTCCCAGGTTCAAGTGATTCTCCCGTCTCAGCCTCCTGAGTAGCTGGGATTAGAGGCGTGTGACACCACACTCAGCTAATTTTTGTATTTTTAGTAGAGATGGGGTTTTACCATATTGACCAGGCTGATGTCGAACTCCTGACCTCAAATGATCCACCTGCTGCTTGCAGTGAGCGGAGATCACACCACTGCACTCCAGCCTGGGCAACAGATTGAGACTCTGTCTCAAAAAAAAAAATCCGCCTGCCTCGGTCTCCCAAAGTGCTGGGATTACAGGCGTGCCACCACACCCAGTCAACACAGACATTCTTACTGCTTTTTTACACAGAATTTTTTTTTGTTGCATAGCATTTTTCTGCACCTTTCTTTTTCCACTTAACAATGCGCTTGGAGGTTTTTCCATATTTGTACATCAGGAGCTTTCTCTTTCTTTGTTACCACATTAAATTCCACAGGGTAGATGTACCATAATTTAACTGGGTCCTTATTGAAAGACAATTGAGCTGTCTCCTAGACAAAGCCTTGTGCACCTTCCCTAACAGAGGGTCTAACCAAGCAGGCAGGATGGGGTTATAAAGTAGGTGGGGAGGTGGGAGAGACTCCACCTTCCCAGGTGGGCTGAGAATAGAGGTAAGGCCCTGCAACAGGACAGAGGGAAAAGTGGGGATGAGAGATGGGAGGCAAGATAGCACCTCCCCATCTCCTGAGAGGCTGGGCTCTCTGCTGTCTTTGCCTCCACTGACCAACCACCATCTGTTCTTGCTCAGCCCCCTCCTCCATTTGCCACTGACCTGTTGGCCTCCCCCAACCTCTGAGCCTGCTTCTGCCTGGGTAATTTCCCAAGACCCAGGAGGGGTGAGTGGTGAGGTGTGATTGCCCCCATCCCTTTGCCTCCCACAGCATCTGCTCTGGGACCATGAACAATAGCTGACAGCTCCATGGCCTTTGCTGTCCCCATCTCAGCTTCCCTGGGCATCTAAACCTCAGCTGCCCTGGGGTAAGAGGACGGGCTGAGGAAGCAGAAGCCTGAGGCTGTCTAGAGTCTCACTCTTGCATCAGCAGGCCACCACCTGTGTTTCCTCCTTGTGCAAATTTGAAAAGAATTGCATAAAACACTGGAGAAATCCAAGAGGGGAAGTCCATAAGGGCGGTGGTTCCCTAAGTGATCACAGAGCAAGCTGGTGCCAGAGCCTGAACCTAGAGTGCTGTTGGTGGGAAGCAGGAGGAGGGGTCCTGCCTCCAGGTCAGGGAAGGGCTCCCTCTCACCTCTACAGGCAGCGCGTGTCTTGGCTCAGCTGCCCTGTGGTGGATGCGGAGTGGGGAGGGCAGAGATCTGGGCCTGGGAAGGGGACAGTACACACTCTCGTGGCTGCTACCCCTCCCTCAGGCCTTGTCCACCTCTGACTGTGGCTCTCTGGCAGGAATAGATGGACATGGCCTGGCAGATGATGCAGCTGCTGCTTCTGGCTTTGGTGACCGCTTCGGGGAGTGCCCAGCCCAGGAGTGCGCAGGCCAGGACGGACCTGCTCAATGTCTGCATGAACGCCAAGCACCACAAGGCACAGCCCAGTCCCGAGGACGAACTGTATGGCCAGGTGAGGGCAGCCTGGTGGAGGACAGCATGCACACAGGTCAGAGGGTGACGGCATGAGCAATGGCAGGTCCAGTGTCCTCAGAACCCAGGGTGCCGCTGCCGACAAGGAAGGGGAGGGGCGGCCGGGGCCGCCATGCCACAGGTGAGGCCACTGAGGCAGCTTGGGGAATATGAGCTCCAATTTGAACTTCAGGCTCAGGAGAGTGCCTATATTTTATTATTCTGGTCTCCTGGCCTGCTCCCTACAAGGGTTCACATTCCCAGAGGGCTGGGAATGTGCGCAGGGAGAGACTGTGGCAGGGACACAATCTGTGGGTTAAAGCGAAGAGAGGACAGTCTGAAAGCCCCATGACATCTGAGTCATTCCCAACATTCCATTTGCTTATTTTTAAATCGGGATTAAAAAAAAAAAAAACACCCAAATACATAACATACATTTTCCATTTGAGCCATTTTTAACTGTATGGTTCAGTGGTATTAAGTATGCTTATGTGGTTGTGCAACCATCACCACCATCCATCTCCTGACCTCTTTCATCCACCAAAACTGAAACGGAAACTCTGTGCCCACCACTTCATTTGCTTTTCAGAACATTCTAGAGCACATCCTCCTTGCCAGGAAATGGTGTGGATGTAGACCTTTGAGAGAGACAGATGACTATCATTCTCAAGGCCATGAGCTATATGAGAGTGATGATATTTGTTGAGCCCCTACTATAGCAATGGAGTTCTTCTCATTGTACTCAGTAACTCTTTTGGAGGCAGCAACCCTTGACCCTGACAGGCAAGACCCATGTCTGCCAAACCCCAAGACCCATGATGTGCAAGGGTCTTGCAGGAAGACCAGGATTTGGGACATCCAAGGAAAAGCAAGTGTGAAGTCAGGCCGGCAGGAAAGCATGTTCTGTGTCAGCCCGCACTGGGCGTGGGCCAGGGTGTGGGAGATGGGTAGATCTGGCTCGACTCCCATGGATTTC